CCGTTGCCGGTGAGGTTGTTGCGCCACCACCACCACTAGCACCGCCTAGAGCCGCTGCAGGGGTCGCGGAGAGGCCATTACCGTTTTGGAGGGGCGAAGGATGCAGGCCATTGGTTGGCCCCGATGCCAGCAGGGGATCCAACGAGGCCCAGGGATTGTTGTCGTTCTCTACTGATTGTGCCGGAGGATCTAATAAATGGTTAAAAGTGAGCAGGTTAGCAATTGTTAAATCTTAGCACAGCAACCGAAAAAGTACAAGGGGCATATTAGTTGAAAAGTTTAAGTTGTTAAAGAATTCTTCTGACACACGATGTAGTCACAACCATTGATGAAAGAGGAGAACCTACACGAATTACAAGAAGGAAAATTACAGTAACAAAAAATAGTTAGGCCACAAACTGAATATTAACCACAGTTTTTCCCACCTGATTATACCGATCTCCACTGAAAAAATTACACCGGAATAGGTACCTTTTAACCGTGAGAGGGTCTTTTACGAAACAACCTACAGGATATGCCAGTCGCGGAAGCAGAAATAATTATCCCAGTCGCTCATGTCTTTGTCCGTATATCCGGCGTCTTCTAACATCAAACACGGAATGGAAGGCGCTGAGGATACAAACGTCTGAATTGCAGGTCCTATTGGAAGCACTAAGGTGAATGGACCGCAGGATTTAGGCTACTGCGAAAGTTTTTTGGGTCGAATTAATTCTAATAAGATTGAATGTTCACCTCCCAGTTAATTGACTTAATATAACGATTGCAATTTCAATGTCTAAATGTCCTTGACAGTTCCGCTTGCACCCGCTAATATTTAAGTTAGTTGGAAATTCACAAAAGCCACTTTTAGACACCTTGAACGTTGTGAATGCAGTTTAGCTAACAATAAAATAGCATGCTTTGTATACATACCCACGTGTGCCCAGTTGAAGAGTTGATGACTGATAAAAGCGACCACTACTTCAAGTAGTCTGCTTCCTTACGACAAAAATACTAAGCGCCTTGGCCACATGCCTAAAATGGGCACAAAAATCTACCATGACTCAAGAAATTCTCGGCTCACCCGATCGTCACCTCTTGCGAGAATTTCGGCCTCATCAAATTTGAATGTGTGGCCGTGAGTCATGGTTTACGGGCCCCCAATCCATAAACAAGTGCAACGATTTGCCCAATACTTTTTCAGTGCTGAGATTCAATTTGGCCATAGCAAGTGGCCACTTGGGGTACGGACAGGCCTACGCAAACACCACAGGGCCAGGTGGCCGAGCAATTATCACGCCCCAGTCCACCACACGTGATGAACGTTCAACAGGTCAGAGCCCGCATGCCCTCCAACAATCTATCCACGCACAAGAAGGCAATTAACGTTAATTGTCTCTGGATGTTTGCAGCAATGACTGTATCCTATAAATATTGCAAACCCCTGTGCACGCATTACCCGTTTCTGCTACTGCTCCTTGACTATGTCTCTGATGACGAATCCGCGACGGATCTCGA